ACCCTCGACCCTCGACCTTCGACAAAAAGATAGACTCGAGCCAGTGAGTCTACAAGCCTAGGAAGGGAGACTAAGGAGAAGCGAGAGGTACTGAAAAGAAACAAAGGCATATTTAAAGGAAAAGCACTCGGACTTTCAACTTTCGCGTTGTCTTTAATGTATTAAAATGCCACCCCATAGGACTACATCTGTAAGCGGGGGGAGGGGGGTAGGGGCGGGGGGGAGATGCAGTATCGTACCGTTAGGACTGGGCTCTAGGGCCATTGCCTGTTAGGACCATGCAGGCTCGTTACCATTGTTGTTTAAGTTATCAGCCAACGTGGCAGTCGTAGTCTATTAAACATAACTCATACTCAAAGCATAGTAATCAAAGACAAAATTATATATATAATCAGCAGCCGAATATCAGGAGCTCCTGACATAATTTGATTCACCTTTTATCTTCATGAGTTTTGCTCAGTAGGACACTTAAGCTTTGATTCACTTTGAAAATCATTTTGCTAATGTAAACCGTCAACAGATTTTACTCTTTCATCTTGTCACATCTATTCATTTGCATCCTGAATAAACCTTTATTGTATTATTGTCAGCTGTGGTCTGACGCAACGTCTGCCTCACTCATGACTTGAACATCCTGCCGCGAGCTCCTCAATCTCTTGCCTGATTCTCGGTACCACTACTGGGAGACATGCATGTCTGCTTGTGACATTCCATCTACTGACACATGTCAGTCCACCTCTCACCGTCGTCACTCATCTCAGCTCTTTCTCCATGTCTACCCATCACCTTCTCTCTGCCCGTGTTGTCCGTCCCAAACATAGCGGTCATGTCTCCCATAACTATCTTCATATCTATGCGTGGTACCTGCACCAAAACCACCTGTAGCTGTTCACGTATATAGAAATCATCCTTCGCTTCCTCCGTTCCTTCATTTGTTTTGGCGTAGCGTATTACGTTGACCTGCTGCGTCCTCGAATTGAATCAGGCCCTGATAATCCTCTCAGACACTCGTTCCTATTCTAGCAGACTCTAAACAGAATTAAGCCAACTGGGAAGGCTTTGTTTTAGCTAAACTGTAGTCTCTCCCACGAAATCACTCTCAAGTCAATGGCGCTGAACGTCAAGTCACTATATCGTGCAGAAAGAAATTGTGGGTGATTTAACAGCAAAATCTAATACTCGAAAACACGGGGAGATACTTTCCAAACAAACCACGATAAGGCCAATCACAATGGACGTAGACAATCCAATCAAGAACCAATACATGTAGTCGACGTTTGTTCTGGTGTTACGTCTGGCTGAATGACAAAGTGGCTCCAGTTATTTGAGCCAATCATTTAGCGAAGTAATGCAAAACAAAAGCAAATGCCAATTACGTTCGACACTTAGGTGAAACCTGCTGCAAAAAATGCCCACAAATAATTCTTATGCATATCTCCTTTTATTTTACAGCTGAACCAACTTCATATAAAGTTTAACAAGTAATGCCAACGTCGACTCCACCGCCATTTTTCAGAAGTGTGACATCATTATCATAAATCTTTCTTCCCCATTTTATAAGGAGCAAGTAGGCATTCAAGCTAAGCGATGAATCTTGATCTAAAAAAATAATTTCTTATAAGGCGTAGTATCATGCATGCTTAGTAGACGGTCTTTGATGATCAGGCGAACACTATATATCTGATCGAATTCGCAGAAGCATGCCCGCATTGACTCAAAGACAGTCCCAGCGGCCAGAAGTCCTCTGACCTCCCCCCTGGCTAGGAGATTGGCCCCTCACGCATGCACGTGGCATGGACCAGTCCAGCAGGGTGCCATGTCAACACAGAAACCTCAAACAAGGTGAAACAACTGAGTAAAATACCCAGAAACTCAGTCAAT